CACACAAGTTAATGAAAATCTGATGATCTGAATGAAAGAAGGCCAGATTTAAATATGTTCTGAGGATGTTAAACTTCTCAAGCAGAAGGAGGGTGTGATGGTTAAGAACAAGCAGCAGAAGACCTAAGATTTCTGCTTTGGGTGGGCAAATGGGACATTTGTAGAATGAAAATACAAAAGGCTCTGGGGATGGGGAGGAGAGAGAAGGGAGTGAGGTCCTGTGTAGACACACTGCATGTGCTAAGCCACTGAAACAGGCCTGATGAACGGGCAGTTGGAAACTTAGGTCTGGAGCCTGGGAGATGGAAGGGGTTTGGAATCACTCAATGGTGCATTTCTTACAATGCGTCCCGTTACGTTATAGCACTGTGAGATAAGGGTGTACCTTTGCAATCAGCTGTCTCCTTCCTGAGTTTATTTATAGCACACAAAATTTGGCAACCTCAGCAGTTTTAGTAACAGAAATGTCAGAATGACATAACATTGTGGGCTCTCCCTCTTCCCTTTTTTCTTAAAAAAAAAATGACCAAATATATCAGCACCTAGAAATTAGATGGAATTCCTGTTTCTAAAATAGCCCCATTACTCAACCCAATGTTTAGGTCTTTGGCCTGGATTGCTGTTTGTGTCAGCTCTGGGGCAATCTTTCCTTGCCTGGACCCACACAGCTTAGGGTCCAAAGCCAGGGAGAGTGGTAGGAGATGAAGAAAAAAAACAAAGAAACAAAGACTACTTTGAAAGTTGTGACTAGGTGGAACCATAGCCTGTCGGGAGCTAAGGGCCATCTGGAATCCCATGCACTATTTAGTGGAAGGCAAACAGGAAAAGAAGGCAGGGCAATAGTGCTACATGGCCTAAGTGGCCTAGGCTGAATGTAGTGTGATTGTTTTGTGAACAGGGCACGCGCAGGTATGTAACTGTGTCCTGGGGCTGTGCCAGTTTGACTATCTAGTCTATGGAGGAGAAAGGGAGTAGGGAGTAGGTAAAGGGCCATGTTCAGGCTTGGCCAGGCATTTCCTGACCATGTACCTTCCTCTAGATTGTTCCCTCGGGAGACCTGGCAGGCCTACAACCTAGAAAACAGGTCAAGCCAGATTTGTTTCTTAGGCTTTGGTTGGTTTTCATCTAGAAGTTCGTATTCATGGGACATGGTATAATGAACACACCATTATTAATCCTCTGCTGTCCAGGACCTTCTGCAAGTTTAAGAGTTGCTTTTTCAATCCAGTAGCCTCAACTCAGCTAATTCTCAACTTTATGTTCTGGGATCCGCTGTGCAAACATACATTATGTAACCAGCGGTGGCAAGAGATGTTATTGTTTTGGGAATCTTATGAAGGTAAACCCAGATAAAATCTCAAGATTTACTACCATGAAATTGTTATTCAGGGTGATCTTAAAATGCATCATTGGAAATGGGTATTTCATAGCCCGGCATAGGGTACATTCCTGTGATCTCAGCACTCAGGGAGATTTAGGCAGGAGGGTCACAAGTTCAAGCCCAGCCTAGGCAGTTTAGCAAGACCTGCTTCAGAAAAGGGGGTGGGTGGGTACTGGGGTGTAGCTTGGTACAAAGACCACAGGTTCATTTCCCAGGCTTCAGTACCACGAAAAAGGAAATAAGTTACAGGTTATTCCACACCTAACCTGCAGGGAAGAGTAACATCAAGACTTCAGTGGCTGTTTATAATAGTCTGTGTTGATCTGAGATTTTAGCTGCATCCACAAATATGGAAAAAATATAACTAGATGAATTAATAAACCTCTGAATCTTTGAAATGCTGTTTACACCTGGATTTGAGCCCTCTCCGCCCCCTTTCTGACAGTACTGGGGACTGAACCTAGGGCTTTTGCACTGAGCTACATCGCCAGCCTTTTTATTGAGACGGGGCCTCGCTAAGTCACTCTGTTGCTCCAGGTTAGGCTCAATTTGTGATCTTCTTGCCTTGGCCTCCTAGAGCACTAGGATTACAGGCATGTATGACCATACCTGGCTATGCCCAGACCTTTAAAAGTTTTTTCTTAAGATACTGTCAGGATCTTGTTAAATTTCCAAGGCTGGTCTCAAACTTTTACCTTTCTGCCTCAGCTCTTAAGTACCAGGAATCATAGGCATGCACTCTTAAAAAAACTGGTTTTCAAATGTCACTTTGATACCTTCAGCATGTTTTAGTAAAACCTGAAACTCTATATACCATTATTTTGTTTTGTTGCCTCAGCTTTTTCCATATTCTGTGAACTATGAAGATGGCTTAAGATCACAGTAGTACATTTCCGTAGACCCTTGGAGAGACACTGTGGACTACAACAGTCCACCTTTTAAAATGGATGACATAGCAGCTAAGGCTACAAGGAGGGACAATTATTTGGGTGCCTCTGAGGTCAGGAGCCTCATTTAAATGTGTTTCAGGAGAAAAAAAAAAAATCCTGATCCTGACATGCCTAGGTCTTAGGAGAAAAACCTGAATATAATTTTGTCATGAGAGACTAGTGATTTCACCTCAAGAGAACAGAAGTCAGTAGTTTTATTTCTGTGAGAATAAATATTTTATTTGGGTGAGAATATCCAGCAAAGCTATAATTTAGAAATAACCGGGCACATTGGTTAGGCAACACTATTGACACTTCACTACTTGGAATAACGAAGCAACTATTTTTCTTCAGGCTTGAGCAGGAAATGTACTTTCTGTATTTTTCATGGAATTGAATATTCTGGGGTTTTTTTGGAGCTATGTAGCTCAGGTTGGCCTTGAACTCACTCTAATTTGGTCTCAATCTCAATCCTCCTGCCTCAGCCTCCTAAGTGCTGGGATTATGTGTTTGGCAAACATGCCCATCTTGAATATTCTTATCAATACATAACCAAACTGAATTTTGTATTTTAATCATTTAATTAACAGTATAAATATTATTTTAGTTTCTATTATGGTCGCCTAAACATATGGCTGTAGGCCTATATATTTACATACATACATATATATACATATATACATACATACATACATATATATGCATGCCTGTGCTACATAGCAAGCCATACTAGCCTGCACTACAGAGACTTTGTCTCAAAAACAAAACAACAACAAAATCACTAAGTTAGAATGTTTGACGTCATTAAGGAAGAAACTAATTTTTCTAGTTGTGGCTCACAACTACATATGTGTGTGTGTGTGTGTGTGTGTGTGTGTGTGTGTGTGTGTGCGCGTGTGCTATGTTAGTATTAGGCTAATTTGCTAACATGCGTCTGATTTACTGGTGATGAGGTACAAAACCACCTGATGGTGACTGATGCAGAAAGTAGCAGCAATTTCTTGCAAAATATTTTGACTCTTGTTCGCTTTTGCTAAAGTCTAAAAATGCTTGATTCTGAAAATGGCCATACTACCGAAACTGCTATACAGATTCAATGCAATGCCAATTGAAATTCCAATACTATATTTCACAGAACTAGAAAAAAGAATCCAAAAATTCATCTGGAACCATAAGAGACATAGAATAGCAAAAGCCATCCTAGGCAACAGACACATGACAGTGGGTATAACAATCCTCAATTTGAAACTATACTACAAAGCCACTGTGACAAAAACAGCACGGTACTGGCAAAGCAACAGGCGTGAGGATCAGTGGAACAGATTGGAAGACACAAAAACAAATCCAGATATACTCAGCTACCTCATCTCTGACAAAGGAGCTGACCATCCTCAGTGGAGGAAAGATAGCCTCTTTAATAAATGGTGTTGGAAAAACTGGATTTCAACCTGCCACAGATTAAACCTGGACCCTTATCTTTCACCATGCACTAAATTAAAATCCAGGTGGATTAAAGATCTAAATAGTAAAACAGAAACACTAGACTTGCTGGAAGGTAAGTTAGGCAGAACTCTGGAAGACGTTGGCATAGGAAAAGACTTTATGAATAAATCCTCAGTAGCACAGGAACTAGCAGAAAGAATCAACAACTGGGATTTCATCTTATTAAAAAGCTTCTGTACTGCAAAAGAAACCATCAGCAGAACTAAGAGACAACCTACAACGTAGGAAAAAAATTTTACCAGCTGCTCCTCAAAGGACTATTATCTAGAATAAAGAACTCAAAACAATCAGCACCCCCCAAATATAAAGACCCGATTCAAAAATGGTCATTCGAAATGAACAGACATTTCTCAGACAAACAAGTAAAAGCAGCAAATAAATATATGAAAAAATGCCCCACAGCACTGGTCATTCCAGAGATGCAGATGAAAACAACACTGAGATTTCACCTCACCCCACAAAGAATGGCTGCTATCAAGAAATCAACCAATAATAAATGCTAGTGGGGCTGTGGGGAGATAGGAACCCTTCTCCACTGTTGGTGGGAGTGCAGACTGTTGCAACCATTGTGGAAATCAATATGGAGGTACCTCAAAGAGCTTGGACTGGAGGTTCCATTTGACCCAGCCATCCCTCTGCTGGGTATCTTTCCAAAAGAACTAAAAGAATCCTATCACAGTGATGTATGTGCACCCATGTTTGTAGCGGCACAGTTTGTAACAGCTAAAACGTGGAAACAGCCCATTTGCCCATCCATTGGAAACTGGATAAAGAAGATGTGGTTTTTCTATAAAATGGAATATTACTCAGCCATAATGCACAAGAAAATAGATTCATTCATAGGCAAAAGGATACATATTGAAGATATACTCCTAAGTGAAATAAATAAGTCACACATGTGTAAATATTGAATAGTTTCTTTGGTGTGAATAAACTGCAATAATACATAAGATCCTAATAAGATTACTGATATTGTGAAATGGGAAGAAAGGGGCTAAAGGTGTAGGGAAGGTGGGATGGGTAGGGGAAGGGTAATAAGGGAAAAGAAAAAAATGTGAGATAATGAAAAGATGGAAATAAAGTGTCTGTAGATGGGGAGAGGAGGAGGGGGTGAAGGGAGGGCAGGGACGAGGGGAAAAAATGAGAACCAAGACCTGTCATATAGAGATACAAGATCCCAATAATGAGTGTAACTGTACTGTATCCCTAAAATGTACCAATAAACTCAATTAAAGAAAAAAACTGCTTGATTCTGATCAGGAATTTGAAAATGACAATGTCACTTGTAATTATTCAGCTTGTCTTAAAGTATAAATAACCAGTGACAGAAAATAAAGTGGCTTATACTACATTTAATAGTGTTAATATTGTAGAGATTTCAAACCTCATGAAGGACAATTCAGGTGAAGTGTTCAATATACATAGATTTTGGATACCTTATTAGAAAACAAAGTGCTGTAAGCAATATTCTGAACATTGCTTTCATTTGAAAGGGAAGATAATTTTCAAAGTTGCTTGAGGTGCTGTAATACATCAACTGAGATTCCCAGCTGTGTAACTAAACTGGCCGTCTGTTCTAAAATCCAGGGGAGGCTTGCGTTTGTAGAATATGAAGGCTCTCGTGTTTGACAGCCTTCTAGATATGAACAATCTGCCCTGCTAGGACTGTTGCCACAGTTTTTGTTAAACTCAGCATTACTGTCGTAAAGTCTTTCATCTTTAGCTTCATTAATCTTCTCAGCTGGAACCACACGACAAAGGTCCATATCCTCAATGGAGTCCAATAAATCTCCAACACTGGGTCGGGGAGGGACTGATTTCAGTTGTGTGAGCACATACTCTTCACACTGGCTCACTGCATCTAGGAGATTATTTATCTTGCTGATCAGAGTCAAACTATTATCATGAAGGTGACACCAGGAGAGCAGAGCGCTGAATGAAAATATAAAAAAAAAGTTAAATAGGAAAAAAATTAAATAGTCACAGGCTTTTAGGACATTTGATGTCAAGCCCTACATGTTTTTCTACCAGACAACCATGCAAAAATGGATGAATGATAATAACCTCAATCAAAATCAAGAAAGCAATGATGGTAAACAGGATTAATACATTTACGACAGGACTGTAATTTGTACATCTCGCCATACTGTGGTGCATGTATGCCTGTCCCATTGGGCAGTGTGGGACAGTCCCATTGGGTGGTACAAGCTGCTTGATGGGACAGTCATGTGTGTACCACCAGTGGTTCAAGCTGGAAGAAACTATTAAAAATAAGAATGTTGGGCTGGGGATTTGGCTCAGTGGTGCAACTGCCTGTCTCACAAACGCAAGGTCTTGAGTTTAATCCCCAGTACCAAAAAACAAACAAAAAAAATAATGTTATCATTTAATACAAATTAAGCAAGAATACTTAATCATATGAACTGCTTATACCTCCTTCATAGCTTTTTATGACTTTGGATTTTCCCTAATCACCATGTAATTTCTGGTGCAGAGGGATACAATTTAGAGAAAGATCAGAAAAATTAGTTTCTTCTTTAATGACATCAAACATTCTAACTTAGTGATTCTGTTGTTGTTTTTGTTTTTGAGACAAGGTCTCTGTAGTGTAGGCTAGTTGTGGCTCACTTTGTAGCACAAGCTGGCCTTGAATTCACTGCAATCCTCTTGCCTCAGCCTCCCAAGTGCTGGGATTACAGGTATATACCATTATGCCCGGCAATAAATTAGTGATTCTTAATATTGGCCACACATTAGAATCACCTGAGCTATAAAATACTTCCTTGGAAAAGGTAAGAATTATTCTAGATTTAATATTTTCTTACTTTTTAGAATGGAATACATATGGTTTAAAATTTTTTACATTTCTAGAATGGAATACAGTGGCAGCTCAGTTCATGAACCTGATTCTTTTCACGATTCTGGTCACAAACCAAGTTGGATGAAAGCAGAATCAAATTCAATGGTTAGGTTCAAAGTTGACCTTATAGGAAAAATTGATTCAGTTTTTGTTCTAGTTTGTTTTGTGACCAGAATCATGGAGAAAATAATATGTGAACTGAGGAATATATATGTATAATATCTCCCCCATATATTTTATCCTTACACAGGGGCATGCTAATCTTTACTGTGTTATTCCAATTTTAGTACATGTGCTGCTGAAGCAAGTACTCCCCACACATTTCAGATTGTTCAGAAAATCATGTCATGTCAAAAATAATGTTAATTATGAAAAGCAATTGTTTTTTTGGGCTGGCGATTGAGCCCAGAGCCTCATGCACACTAGTACATGCTCTCACTGAGCTGCATCCCAGCTAAACAGTAACGTTTTAAAAATGGAATCAGTTGTTACAAAAACTTCAGCAACAACCATTATTGGTTTATACAAAGATTAATTTAACTTAATGATATGAAGATGAACACTCGATCATTTTCCTACCATAGTAGACTATAAATTCTGGTCCCTGCCAGTTGAATTTTTAAACACATGATTTTTCGTTTTGATAGCTTTCTTTTATCCTCTTCTCTTTCAAAATCAGGGATTTGTTGAAGTATTTTATGTTTTTCTCTACAGAGGACAGTTGGGATCAACAAAGATGGCCCTGTCCTGCGGAGCGGAGGCTATTTGACCAGTTGACCCTGCTATATGCCATTAATGCCATGGATTAAAATACATGGATGCATTTTTTTTCAATTACTAATAATAACTTTCATAATGTACTTCTGGTCTGTTGTATTGTTTACCACATGTACAAGCACTAACAGCTTTTATTCAATACATAAAGATCTTTTAATTAGAGACTGGTGGTAGATTGGCTAGCATATAAGTATATACCTTCTGCAAAAAAGGGCAATATCTGGTTTACATATGAAGGTGGGTGAATTGACAATAATTTTTACTTTTTAAAGGCAGTGTCACTGTATGTTCTGAAGCACTCCTGTGTACCCCATGATAGGAAAAGTGAATTAAACATTTCATTTTTATATATTACTTTATAAAAAGTACTCTGGTATTGAGGCTAAAATCCTTTAGCATTTAAGTTTTTTTTTTTTTTTTTTGGTACAGGGGATCGAACTCTGGCCCTTGTGCTTTTGAGGCATGCAGCAGAACCACTGAGCCAAACCTCTGGCCCTAGCATTTAAATTTTTTTTTTTGGAACTGGGGATCAAACTCAGGACACTGCGCTTGCGAGGCAGGCAGTGGAACCACTGAGTTGAATTCCTGGCCCATAGCATTTAGGTTTTTAAGCTTACCTCAATGTTCCTCTGAGCTGTCCATAGTTCATAATGACTTCTGCACCTTCCTTATAACCTTGATTGAAGCCCTGTTGAAGAGCAACTGCTTTACCAGCATCTACTCCGTCTCTATAACCTTCCTAAAATAACGAAGAGCTGCAGCTGTAACTACACAAAGTGAAGCACATGTGGACCTTTCTTTGGAAAGGCACACAATCAATTTGAAAAATGGATGAAGTTGGCCTTTCTGTGTTATTAAATACACTATAGTGTAGGCACAGAAGCAAACAACACAATTTTTCTGGCCACACCTTACTATTGGTTTATCTTTTCTTATTCCACTTTTAAAGTCTAGATTTACTGGGAAATTTTTAAACATATTTTGTTTGTTTTGACAAAGAGTCTCCCTAAGTATAATATAGGCTGCCCTCGAACTCACTATGTAGCCCAGGATGGCCTCACACTTGTGGTTCTCCTCCTCCCTTGGCCTCCAGAGTACTGGGATTACAGGTGTGGGCTTCCATGCCCAGTGACACACAATTTCAAAAAACTCTGTTAGCAATGTCTTCACAGAGAGGAAAATGCAGGCATGGCCCCTGGCAAATGACTGGAATGGTGTGGGTGGGTAAGAAGGCTGGCAAAGTCCGGAAAGAGGAAACAATGTCAGGAAAAGGAAGATGAGAAGTCTGGTTTTAGAAATTTTGCTTGATACCCAAATTCCATGAACCCGGAAATTCTCAGTGGGTAGAGAGATTCTGCCTTGTATCTCCCAAGGGTGTCACGGCACTCACAACACGCTCAGTACTTACAGGTCTAGCCCGAACCTCCTGGAGAGCATTTTTGTAATTGAACAACATGATTTTTGGACTAAGCAAGTATTATTTTACTGAAAGATTAAATTAGGGCAGATCCCCAACTGCAGGTGTACGGGCATTTTAATTTTTGGCAGATATGTGATCAGAGCTATCCACCTGGAAATTAGCACTTAGTTTAAAGGAAGAGTGAGGCAAATTAGGAAAAAAATAGTTCACACTTAACAAACACAAAGGAAATGAACTTTAATATCTCTTACCTAGCCCACTAGCTCTCCCCTACTGCCCTGAGGCAACATTCTCAAATCCGCCTTTCCCAAATTTTTTGATTAGTGTCACTCCTAACTGGGATCCCCACACATTCAAGGAGCGCCTTCGGAAGGGCATCGCGTCCTTGCACAGCCATAATGAGTGAGTGGTTCCCGTATACTTCTTCCCCAGCTCTTCCCCTGTGGTCCTCGTTGAACTGAAAAACTTTAAAGGCTATTTAAAGTTTACTTTGGTAGGTCCGCAGCTGCGTCAGGTGCTCACAACACACTTTCCAGTACATTGGGAAATTCGGGCATGATCGGGGCAGACCCGGAGCAAGCAGGCCCGGGTCGGGGGCACTTAGGAGCCCGCTCCTTCACAAACCCAAGCCACTGTCCCCACCGCCCAGCGCCCCAATGGGCCCCCGCCGTTTCCGCCCGGGTTTACTTTGACTCGTCTCTGCATGTTGCTCCGCCATTCCCGCTGTACCAGAAGAGACTCATCCGCTTCCTCGTCAAACACATCCCCCTGGTCTCCAGCTTTCACAACAGCTTGAGCAGTTTGAACCCACGACATCACCCAGGCAACCAACAGAGTCGCCGACCACCGGAAACGCTGGAGACTCCTTCCGGGACAGGGAGCGGGGCGAGGCCAGTCAGCCCGGCGCGGTTTGCGGCTGCGCGCGCTGCGGTCGGGTCCGGGTGCGCTTTCGTTGTGGGTGATGTTTTTAGTTCCTGGTGTTTTGGCGGGCTCTCTCACGGACTCATAGCGCGTAGGTTTTAGTGCGGTGATTCTTCGGCCTGGCTGTTCCTAGCGACCTTGATTTCCGCGCAGGGCCGCCCACACCCTGAGTAGCGCACCACGTTCCCATCAGGGTCTACAAGTTTCCGATTAGGAAGCTGGAGCTGTTGTGAAACCATTCATGGTGTTGACATGACTGTCCAAGACTCCTTTAGAATCCCCCTTGGTGTATTTAATTGGTAAGATAGTGTAGCCAAGAGCAATAATATTAAAAAAATTGATTCTGCTGTCCATTGAAGATCAACAAAAAATAGAAAAAAAAAACCCCAAAAAGAAATAGTAATAGCCTTGTTAAAAAAAATATATATACATACATACATATACACTGTGTGTGTGTGTGTGTGTGTGTGTGTGTGTGTGTGTGTGTGTTTGAGTTTGATTAGGAGCATCCTTCCTTTCTTTGGTTTGGGGAGGTGGGTCGTGGGGCCCACACTCAGTACCCAGGCCCAGCAGGAACCAGGAGGGGAGCTGGGTGTTGGTGACTGAGTAGACACCAGTATCGTTCTGTGTATCCTTTGTGTGACTAAAAATGTGTCACGTAATCATAATGACCTAATATATTTTCTTGAATACCTAGCTTGTGTCAGGCGCAATTTTAGGCTTTTGAAATACAGCAGTGAGAAATACCTTGTGGAGTTTTTGGGAGCACAATTGACAGAGGATGAGCAATAAGCAGGGTATAAACTTTTGTTTTTTCTTTTTGAGACAGGGTCTTGTAGTTAGTTTAGGCTGGCCTTGAACTCACCATGTTGCCCAGGCTGGTCTCAAACTCATGGTAATCCTCCTGCCTCAGATTCATGAGCGTTGGGATTACAGCTGCACCCACCTTATGTATAAACAACTCATTTACTTGAAAGATCCTAAGTGATAAATGGTACGAAAAAATTTAAAACAAAGTAATGAGTGTGTCGGGGAGCGGAGTGGTGGTGGTGGTGCAGGTTACGATTTTATTTTTAATGTAGTTTTGTGTGCCTGCTTGGGATTGAACCCAGGATCTTGTGCCTGCTTCACCACTCAACTACACCCCTTGCCTCAAAATTACCATTTCAAATAGAATTTTGCATTCAATGAATGAATGAATGCATGCATGAATAAATAAATATTGTGTTAATTACTTTTCTCACGTTGCTGAGACAAAATACCCCGACACCCAAAGATAAAGGAGGAAATGTTTATTGGGCTCACAGTTTGCAGAGGTTTCAGTCCATAATTGACTGGCTCCAAGGCAGAGTGGCTTGGCAGAGGAGTGTTGCAGAGGAGAACAGTTCATGATACCCACAAGGTAGCAAAGCAATCATGGGACCTTAACAGCATCTTTTTGCCCTTTCTATCTTGTCCAGACTACTTAGAGCAGGTAGCACTCACACTCTTAATCCTAGTGCCCTTGATCCTAGCACTGCACCATGAATCAATCCCAGTGTCACACACTCTAGATTGAGCTACCTCTGGAAAAGCCCCACCTATGACTGCATGAGGCAGTGGGAAGACATCTAGACACAAGCCATAACAAATAACAAATATAAAACTTGTATATTAATATAATATATATTAAGATACATATCTTGGTTAGAAATGAAACGGTAGTAAGATAAATAATAAAGATAACAATTGAAATTAATAAAATAGAACATTCCTGAATTTGCATAAATAAATCCACTATCTGCTTCTTTGAAATCACCGATAAAATAGAGAATCTTGTCGTGGCTCTAATTTTCCTCTTTAAAAAGGACAAAATTATGCAGGGTAGAAATTGGAAAGAAGGTAACCACTGATGTAGAAGAAAATTGAAATATAAATTACTAACTAGAGCTCACATTTGAAAATGTAGGAGATATGAATGATTTCCTAAAAAAAAGACCCAAGAAGTAGAAAACAAGAAGAGCCTAATTACAACAGAAAAATTGGAGATGAAATGTCCACTATCAAAAGTAGCATGAGTAGGTTCACTGTTAAGTCTTTTAAAAAATTTTGTTTTGGTACTGGAGATTGAACTCATGTCCTTGTGTTTTCCAGGCAGGTGCTGGAACCACTGAGCTAAATCCCCAGCCCATCTTTTTTTTTTTTTTCTTCCTCATTGAGTTTATTGGTACATTTTAGGTATACAGTACAGTTACATTCATTATTGGGATCTTGTACCTTTATATGACAGGTCATGGTTCTCATTTTTTCCCCTTGTCCCTGCCCTCTCTTCACCCCCTCCTCCCCTCCCCATTTACAAACACTTTATTTCCATTTTTTCATTTTCTCCTATTTTTTTTCTTTTCCCTTATTCCCTTTCCCCTACCCTTCCCACTTTCCCTACATCTTTAGCCCTTTTCTTCCTGTTTCACATTGTCAGTTATCTCATTCAGCCCATCTTTTTTACTCTAAAGAATGATAGATAATTAAATATTACTCTTTTCTTTTTCTCTTTTTGGTACCAAGGCTCGAACTTGGGACCTTGCACTTGCAAGGCAGGCAGTGGCACCACTGAGTTAAATCTCCGGCTTAAATATTATTTTCAAGGCAAAGAAAAGATGGAAACTCCCTGAATTATTTCATGGATCCAGTCTTATTATAACATGAGATAGTATTACAAAATTTAACAATGTTCTAGTTAGTTTATGAATATATTGATAAAGACTTTACCAAGAATCCATTAGTGGAGCTGGGGTTTAGCTCAGTGGTTCCACTGCCTACCTCACAAGAACAAGGTCCTGAGTTTGATCCCCGGCACCCTCCCCTTCCCATCAATTAGCTGGGGCTTTACTAAAAGAAAAAAAAATCCAATAGCAATTTATATTTTAAACACTCAGATATTAAAATATTTCTTTTAAAGTTTCCATGTCCATCCTGTGGCTCTGTGGGCTGAACATGGTCCTACTAAGGTAAACTGACAAGACTGTAAATCATTAATATTATTATGTGATTTTTAGCAGTGCTTTTCACAATTCGATTACCATTTTCTTTTTTTTTTTTTTTTGGTTTTTTGAGACAGGGTCTCACTATGTAGTTGAGACTGACCTGGAACTCACTGTGTAGTTCAGGCTGGTCTTGAACTGACAGCAATCCTCCTGTCTCAGCCCTCCGAGTGCTGGGATTAAAGGAATGTGCCTGGCTGTTTTTTGTTTTTTTTGTTTTAGGTACCGGGGATGAAACCTGGGTCCTTGAGCTTGTGAGGCAGGCAGCAGAACCACTGAGCTAAATCCCTGGCCCTTGACTCAATTACCCTGTACTCCATTGTGGACTGTGTGGGTGACAAAGGAACACTGCAGTAGCACCCATCACTCAACAGTGGGATGGGAACCCCTGTGTATTAGATGTTACATGTATAGTGAGACTTGGCAGTTACTAGGGTTTCACCTACCTAAATGTGTGTGTGCCGGTGAGACAGGTGTTGTTTATTTAATTCTTAAACTTGGGTTTGTAGTGTTAATTTGTAATATAATATATTAAATATAAAAAGTTT